AAGATTTTGAACACCTTTTAAAGGAAACGGGTTTGTCCCCTCAGCTCTTCCAAGACCACCACTACAACATAGGGTGACTTGGCACCTCTGTGCTCACTTCTGAACTCCAAATGAGAGAAATTTGCTTGATAAGCAGCTATATTTTCTCACTCACTTCAATTGTTTTTCTTCAAATATCACCCATTTTATGATAACTACTGCCCTTTGAGTGTCCCATCATCAGCAAGAACTTTGAGAAATGGCATCTTTCCATAAAGGCAGAGGAGTACTGGATGACACCAGTGCTCCGCTGTAGGTTTTGACTCATTTTGTCACCACACCCCAAACATTTTGGTTTTCTGGTGTTTCAGTCACCCTCTGTTGACTTCACTGCTTCAAGTTTGTTCCCTTTCCTTTGCTACTCTGTAGCAAGACCTCAGACTTCCCCACAGGAAACATCATCAGCCAAGTTAACAGTAAATTACAAAATTGGCCTTTAAACTGATTACCAGTGCTCATCAGTTTAATATGTCAGTAGGGGTGATAACCACAGAGTCACATTTAAGTATCCAAGCTTCAAAACTATCAGAAATGGTCCTCTGTTTCTTTAGGGAAAAGTGGCACTGACACATTTTCAGGTTCCTCATGTTACCATACAATTTCCAACAGAAGTCTGTTCTCTAGAGGTGAAAAACCTTGTGCCAGCCCATCAATGCTGGGCTTGCTGACTTCTGCACAGTCAGAGGAGCTGAGGAGAGCTGGACACTGACAGCACTCTCCTGCTCTAGTTTCTAGCCAGAGGAACATCCACTGGCAGTGCCAGGCAGTGTTACAAATACTACAAATTTGCCCAAGCTTCACATTCTCTGGGCTCTCAATTTCAGCTGCCAAAAAAACTACAACATCATCTCTACTTCCTCAAATGACATTTCTCATCAGATCAATTCAGCATTCAGCAGCACCATTTTAGAAGGCTGGTTGCTATGACAGTGCTTTGTGTTCTTCTGTTAAACGATGTCAATTCATTGGGAGAAAGAAGGAGCTGTTTGGTGTCTTTAGCACTGTTCCTATCAAGAACCAGAACAGTGTTAATGTGCTCAGGAGGCTTTAAAATGCTTGTGGAAATCACAAGCTATACTAATAGAATTTTCAACATCCTACAGATATCTTAAGTGCAAGATGCTCGGGTTTCTTTTTTGTCTCAACATATTTTCCTAACTATAACTACATTTCCAGATGGCTGTATTAGCATTCCACAGCCTGGCTTCTGTTACTGATTTGTCCCAGTATGATCTGGAAACTGAGTGAAGACAGACAAATCAGATTTGTAAGAATAACAAGAGGAAAACAGATTGCAAAGAGATACACTTTGAGAAGCAGAGGAGGAAAGGGAAGAAACATCCACCAATAACCATTACACTTGGTATAATTATTCCTGCTTTTCATAATAATTGCTCATCTGAGATGGACAAGTTCAGAAACTTGCAAATATGCTATTGGAGTTACTGCAGGCATATTCCAAAAGCATTTCATATTTGAGCACCCAAATAAAACTAAATGTCTTTTAGGTTTTGCTACCTTATTCCACCTTCCATCTTTTTCTTCAATCCTTCATGTGAACTGTCAAATAGAAGAACCAATGAGCTCCTACATTTTATAGCAGTGTCTTGTGTTTTGCGAGAAAAAACAAATCTGAGAAAGATCAGCAAGGGGAAAATATCAAAAGTCAGGGTAAAAAAATTGTTACTGCTTATTCTAAGAATATTCTGGTGTCTAGCTGTGCTTTCATTGAATGCTCCACCTGCACTAGTTGTACACAGAAGTTATTAAATGTTGAAAGGAAAGAGACAAAAGCGTAGGTCAACACACACCTTTGTCAGGGCTACACTCAAAAGATCTTCATCACCACAATCTATTCTCACAGGCTTTTGTCAGAAACTGCAGTTGGAAACAGGAATGACCAGTGTGCCAAAATCATCTTCCTTTCCTACCTCTAACCCAGTCTCCACTCATCTTCATTCCCTTTCAGGATTCTACTTCTCCACAGCAAGAAATCTGTCTGGCCTCTTTGGAAACTTTGAATGTATTCCCTGCATCTAATTTTTGCCTTTGTCACTCCCTTTATTCTCTTATTCCAGCCTTGAAAGTAAAGGAAACTGTTTGAAGTGAATTCTCCCTTTGCTTTTTCCATAAAACCTTTAAAGATGGCCCTACTCAAAAGGGATCAGGCAAACCAGATCTTCCAGTCACCCCATCTGTATAGCACTTTCTGGTAACACAGACTTCCCAGTCTTTTTGGCAACAATTTGGGTTTAGCACTTTTTTAATCATTATGCAATGCTCCTCCTAGAAAACCCCAAAGTGTTCAGCAATCTCCTCCCCACTCCAAAATACACCTGAAATCAGAAGTGGGCATTTCACATATTTGATATTAACACATTTCATTACCTATTGTTTATTCTCCAGCTCTTACCTATGAAGGTCCTCATACCATACCACACCACACCCCACTTTTCCCAAAATACCTGAAAACTCTGCTTTATGTAGGGGAAAGTATTTTAAGAGACTTTTGAGGAAAACACAAAAATTAGGTATGTATCCAAAAAAAAAAGAGTGAAAATATTACTTTTTACATAAACTCTCTGTTTATAAAGTCACATATTTTTCCCAGCACAAAGTAAGGGTGCAAAAGAGCAATGGGAAGAGAGACTGTGCTTTCAGTAGGACAGGTGATCCTTTAAAGTTCTTGTAAAACTAGAACCTGAGAGATGTTCAAGATAAACTGTGATAGAACAAAAAGATTAATACCAACTACATTTAAATTTGTTGGCAGTTTGGCTCTGTTAACCACTGTGTTAATTACAAGTTTCCTGGTTTCTCTAGAAATAGTGATTTCAATAAAAAACAACAAATGAATCTGATGGGAATGGTGGAGGTTGAACTTATCACACCTCCTAAGTTGCAAAGTCAGTTCACATGCATGAGAGAAACTCCCCCAAGGCAAAGCTCTGGATGAGGATTCCCTTCCACTTGCAGCCAGGATCACAGAGCAACACCCTGCTTTAGGAGGACTGCATCTCCAGTGCTGACTGCACCCTGGCCAAAAAATTACTCTAAAAAAAAATCAATCTATCACTCTCTCTCTCAAGGGTAACAAAACCAGAAGTTCCAAAGTCTTTCCTAAAAGCAATCTGTCAAACGATGATTTCCACAGCAGCTGCAGAAATGTAGCTTAGCAAATTTCAAAGTAGCAGCAGGACCTCCATGTATGAGGATCTCATTCAAATCCTTCTCAGAATCATCCATACTCAAGTATTTCAGCCCAATTAACTTCACCTCAAGATTTAGTTCAAATCACAACAAGATCATGGGAGCACTCAGTTAAATCTGCAAAGTCTGCTTAACAAACAGAGTGGTGCAAGCTGCACTCCAGATTAGCAGAGTGAGGTATCTACAGGAGAACATTTCCCTAGGACAGACAAGAGCATGCTCAGAACTCTGTTTACTTAAGTAGCCATGGCTGCAGATTCAGCCGGGGACAAACCATGCTCCAGTTCCTTTTTATAAAGGCCATTTCCAGTATTGCCAGAAGCTGTGAAACACAGGGGATCATTTCTGGCTAACCATTAATGGCAATACTACATCCCATCAGCCCTCAGATACTGATTGCACAGCAAAGGCAGCATCTAGGAGCTGAGCAAAGAACCCTGAATATATTTGTACCCCTTGCCATCCTCTGCCCTGCCAACAGCAGCTGTGGACAAGGGTAGATTTATGGGGTGTTTTTCTTATGGAGTATGAGTTTGAAGGTGCCGTGTGATTAAACACGATTTCTAAATCCTACAAGGAACTGAGCTCCTTAGCAAAAACCAGTAACAATAATTTACACTAAAAAGCTTTCCTACACTAAATAACCATTTCTACAAGTGGTAAGAATTTGGCCACATGACCAGAAAGTCACAGTGAAAACTTTGAACCTTCAATTCAGACTATAGTATATAACACTATTGAACAGGCTGCAAAATGACCAGCTCCTGGCTGGACAATGAGAGCTTTCTGTCAGACACTGCTTTCATGTACACCATGTGGTCAGCCACAGAATTATCCTCAGTGTTTAGATTTCCAGCTCTGAGAAAACATATCTTAGTATGGAAGTTGGAAGACATGATGTGAAGACTACTCCATCTGCAACAGTTGAAACTGTGACTGTAAGAAACCTGAGACTGAATTACTGAATTCCCCTTAAGTACTTCACTCAGAGATATCAGTGCCCATACCAGTAAAACCATCAACTTAACTGAGAATCCAGGGAATAAGTTTATTTCTTAATGATTTTTTTCTTTTTTTTTTATGTAAACAGGAAGACTGAAGGTTCAAATAAAGGCAACAAAAAAATCTCCTTATTTTAGGCTTGGAATGTTGGCAGCTGACACAAGGTCATAAGGGATAATATAATCCATTTTATTCAAGCTTTACATTCCACAAGACCAGCAATCACAACTAGAGTATTAAACTGAAGTATTAAGCAACAAGGCTTCTCATATCCTTCCATTTTTTGTTCTTGCATTTAAAAGAAAAATTCTACCAGAAGAAAGAATGAGTATGTGCTACAGGAATTTTTTTCTTCACTCACTCTGATCTCCCCTAATACATCAGACATATCAAGGGAGTCTGTATTCAGTGCACCTGAGCAAAATTCTGCCTGGCTCTTTGAGAAAACTGTTAAAAACTCAGCAGCCTACATACCTCCAAACACTCCATCTTTTGTTTACACATCAAATTAACTTTCTGACCAGCTTGTGCTAACAGAAGCAAAGCCTGATGATCCTAAAGTAAGGCACTGAAGTGAAGGATTTACAGGTCTTACAAACAGCTGGAAGATAACACTGGCATATATTTTTTCTAGTCTACTATGACATCACTTTTTCCTATTAAGTACAGTAAATGCAAGGACAAAGTGCAAAATTAACAATAATCACTGCCAAAATCTTATGTAAGAGGTGAAAAGAAGTCAGAAAAGCAATACCTGATGCATCCAGCTGTTAAGCACCTTTAGTCATCACCAGGCTTCATCCTCATCTGGGCTTGCATCTGGGCAATCATCTCCTGCATGCGGCGCAGCTGGAGGAGAAACACACCCAAGTGTTCACAACAATTCCATGGGAAGAAAATCCAAGAATCCAAAAATCCAAGAAACCTGAAAACTTTTTTTTCCCATGGTAGAAAACAGATCCTATTTTTTTCTTCACAAACTGGAAATGTTCAATAATTCACAAAACTGATTACTTCGTTTTCTCCATTTCATATTCTTCAGTTCAGTACATCTAACTTTCACAAAAGATTTGTAAGAATACTTACATGGAAAATTAAGCAATAGAATCCAAATCTTTGGAAGCCAGCTATGCTTGCAGAATGTGAATCAACATTTAACCCATAATAAAGAAAGCATGTCCTGCAGGTGTGCACAGAGCTACACCTGAGTGTGGCAGCTTTGTTCTGATACAGGTGCTCAAAGCATAAGATCAAGTGGAACACTCATCCTGTGACTGTCAGAGAACTCTGCAAATTTTTAGCAGCAGTACCAGCCAAACATGAAAACAAGATTTAAAAACTATTTCAAAATAGAAAGTTGTTTATAAAATTTGGAACACCAGACTAAACATATTAAGCAGCAATATTTTTTACATCTAAACAATTATTTTTCCTGGAAAAAACTGTTTGCTTAAGGCATTTTCTTATAACACTTAAAAGTTAGCTTCCATTTCATAAAAGATCACTTATATATAATGCTTTGTTACTGGTTGTTTTTTCAAAAAAAGAAAAAATATTAATCAAAACAAATGTTCCTAAGACAGAAGAAAGAACACTAATATGGATTTTCAAAGTACATATGCAAATGCCTCTAATTTGCTTTACAAATGACTGGGTACTTCCTTCCAAATGCAGGTGGGGAAGCTCCACATACAAAACTACAAGAGTCCCATTTTACAAGGAGGGAAGGAAATGGGCTGCTATTTCCATGCACATTGTATAACCCATGAGTCCACCTCAAACCAGAGATCATGTAAAAATCTGAGGCTTGTATAGCAATTTCTCTTTTTTAAAATTTATGTAGAGAAGTGCTTTCATTTGTTTTTGGGGGAAAACTAACAGAAAAATCACCCTGTCTAAACAATTATACTCTATTTTCATCCAGTCAAACACATTAACCTTTGTGATACTTATTACTCCACCAGATTCAATACAAAAGAACCTGAGAAAAATGCTTGAATATATGAATGTAGTGTTGCTGTTGTTTTGTTTAAAAAATCCAACAAACTGAAAGAAACATCACAGAACAAGAAAAACTAACTCCAAGTACCTATATCACTTTTTCTTGCCTGCTCTCAGATAGAGATTTAGGAAAAAGTAAGAAACAGAAGATTAACTAAAGAGTAAAAAAGATTGCAGCACAGCCAGCAGTACCAGAGCTGCCTAAAACTCACTGGCTTATGGACTTATCCTCTTGCTGCAGCAGCACAGGGCTCAGAGAGGCTAATTCAGGTTCCTGTGACTGCTGCAGAGATGCCCTCTGACAAAAGGAGATTCACACAGGAACAGCATGAAATGCAGCTAAGTCTGTGAGGATTATTATAAATCCATCTACATCTTTCTGCTAAGTACTTGAAACAAAAAACTTCTGATCAAGATGGCAAAACGTTGCAGGAAGGAGGAAGAAAAAGCAGAAAGTTCCCAAAATCAGTGCTGGATTGATTTCATGATACAAGAAAAAAGAAAAGCTTCAAAGATCAACTTGTAAATATGTAAGACACCTGGTCTTTTGAACTGCCTCCCTGCAGATTTACCATCAGAATAAAACTAGCTTTTTGTAGGTTCTCCTACTTGAGCTTTCCCAAGAGCGCTCCAAGCTGAGCCATGAAACATTCCCAAAATAGAAACCATTCAGTAATCACAGGGGGAGATACTGCTGCACACATATTATGGTGATTGCTCAAATGCAGAATTCTGCTAATAGCCAACATTATATTTTAAGACTTAAATATAGCACTGAGAATTGCATTTTCTTAACTTTAACTGATAAAAATATGCCCATAGCACAGAATAAATCAGATGCTGCATATGACACAAATATAAGGTAGCCCAAAAGCCCCAGGAAACCTACTCTGCTCTAACATTACAAGATTTTCCCTTTCTATCCTCACGTGGTGTTTTTGAGACCTACTGGTGAAGTCTCTCATTCCATTAGGCAAGGAATGGCCAAGTTTCTGAAGTTATTTTAGAATAATCCAGTAGAAAACCTTTCAGGCACAGGGCCTGTGAAAAAAATGAGGCACATTGTTGTCAAATTAAGAAAAGGGAACCAAGCTCTATTGTGCTCAAGGAGCAACCATGCCAGTCTCTTCAGCAATTCCTCTTTGAGTAGAGGACAGGACACAAGAGCTGTTCCTCCATGTTACACTACAAACAAAACCAGCTCATGTTCACCTTTCTGGACCTACTGAATAGACAGAAAAACCTCTGCTCTTAATAAAGGAGAATATAAAAGAATCACACCAAAGACTGAAATTGATGTCATGTCAACATCTTCATTCCCTTTGCTGTTGGGGACTGCAAGCATCAAGGGCAGAAAATGACTTTGATCTTGCTCAGCAGAGTCCTCTCACTTGCAAGGGCAGCATTGATATATTTGTGTTCATCCCCTAAAGAACAGATGCTACAACATGACAGCACAGGGCCAATGCACATCATGAGTGGAAGGAAGCTAGGAAACAATGTTTGGAAATCTGTTAAAACAAATAATTCCTGTAAATTCTCAGATAACAAAAGGCAAAAGAATAAACATAACCTTGGTATAAATGCCCCTTAGTTTACTTATGTCAGGTCTACAATTTAGTTCAAACAATCATGTAACTACTGGAGCAAACCAGAAAGGAAACAAACATTTAAAATGAGAGCTAAGGTTACAGAGTTAAAAGTGAACCATACATCTGTTTAATAGAATCCACACCCCAAACAGAAACCACAGACACAGCTCTGCTGTACCTACAGAATTGCATCTCAATACAGACACTACTCCTGTTTAAACAACATGAACAACTTCTCAACCAACATGCAGGTATCACAGGAGCAGAAATATTAAGAAATTAGCAGTATTTGCTTCCCACTGATATGTTTCCCCTCTACCAAGTCCGATTATTTCTGCCCATGCCTTTACATAAGAAAGGCATAAGTGAAGACACTGCAAGAACAGGGAAGATGGAAAACTGCACAGTGGATTTTCTAGTGAATGTTCCTGTAAGAGTTCTTTTGATTAAAAATACTTCCATACTTCCAATACCAAAGAACACAAGTAATTTTGTTAACTGAAGACAGGAAAAAATATTCCTGAAAATTTGGAAATGGGGTTACCATGAAGATAAATGTCTTCCATAGGACACGTTCACAAAGAGCAGAAATCACTCACAGCCATTGAGCTGTGCATGCACTGCTCCTTCAAAAACAGCTAAAAACAACCAAAAAAGCAATTGCTCAAAGAAGAAGAAAAAAACCCAAGGTTTTGCACTCTAATTCCTCAGAGATTCCCATTGCAAATTGGAGTTTTCTTCTGAGGAAGTTCTCCAGGACTAAGACTGCACACTTCACAGGGCAAGGCTGAAGCATTCTGCCCCCTGCACTGGGCAGTAACATCCCACAAAATAAATTAAACTTTAGACCTGTTTTAATTTCCCTCAGGTCTGCAGGTCTTCATCAGCAGTCATGCTGTCTCTTCCCATGGATGTTTGTCCCTTAGCTCTCCAGACAATGCTTTCCCCAAGCCCAGCAGGGGCAGGCAGGTACCTGCACACACCTGTCCCATCCTCATCCTCACAGGGTCACTGCTGCCCCCCAGCCTGGCAGCCCCACTGCTGTTCCCCCTCCTGACTCCCACACTGACCCAAGGCTCTTTATCCCATTTGCCAAAGGGTCACACACATTCAAAAAGTGGAAAAACAGAGAGAAAAACAAGTTCAACATTGTGTTCATTCTACCATACAGAGCCCACTGCTGACCAACTCCACTGAAAACAGAAGTGTGGAAAGATTTGCCCAAAGTCTCAGGGTAGCCCACTGGAGAAATCCAGAGGAGTTTATTCCTTGCTGTTTTCATGTAATCACAGCCCTGACATTTTTCTGGAAGTACTACCTGTCAAAAACTTCAAAGATTTTTATTAACAAGATGTCTACAGAGTAGGAAAAATATGGCACAAAACTACAAACTAAGTTTGTGCCCACTTACACTATAACATCAAAATAATCTGTTCTGCATCATATTTACTGTAAGGAACAAGAATATCTTTATGCCTATTTTCATTTTGCAGCTCTAAAAAACAGGTCATCACTTGCAAATGAGCGAAAGCAAAACCAGACTAAGCAATAAATCCAAAATGACAGATTAGCAATCACTAATTGGCTGAACTGGGGACCACATCCTTTGGCATAATAAAAGACCATTTAGCAAAAGTGATGCCTTGATAAAGATGATCCTGGCACTAGTTCAAGCATTCATTCCTTCCAAGGTTATATAAACCTCAGCAAACTGTAAATAGAACATCAAGCACCGTTACTGATGGGAATGCAGAACAGGAGGGGAAATGGATATTTGTTTTCTCTGTGAAGGCCATGGAATGCAAACCCATTTCCTCTGTGCCTCTTTCCTCCACACATTTTTCCCAGTCTGAACCTTAGGGATGATTTGGAGATGAAGGGACTTCATACCAGCTTATCTACAGAAGATTCAGCAAAGCCTCTTGATCTCTTTGGAACAATAGAATGCAGAAGTTAAAAATGTATTTGTTTTTTCAAGTTCTAACCTAATCCCCTGCAACTTCAGCAGCAATTATTCAGAGATGATTAGCCCCAGAGGAAACTTACAAAGACTGCCCCCTAAGAAATTCAAAATTTCATCTCTTTAAGCCATGTTATATAAAAGACACATTACATATTTATATACTGGTCTATTTTGATCACTCTGTGTCAATGCATAAATAGAAAAAAAATATATGTATATAATATATATATATAGTGCCTGTCATATCAACAGTTTCCAGGGAAAATATTTATAGGAGACTTTCTTCAGACACAGGTCTTAAAACAAATAGTTCTACAAGGATACCCAAAATTCTACCTACTATTAGGCATGGACAACTTACACAGTTCAAATAACAGGAGAAACAGTTATGACTTAAATTCTTTATGTCTACTTGTCTGCATGGAATCATTAAGGGAAAATAGAAAAACAAACAATCTTTTCAAAAAATGCTCTTGACTTTTTGAAGCATTCAGTGCTGCTGGCTATCAGCTGATGGGCTCCTGCTGCTTTGCACATGCCCCAGGAAATGGAGGCAGTTAATTTGCAGAACACTTGCAGAAGTTCCACTCTTGTATGTGCACAGTCAAGTGTGCTTGTGCAGCTGAAATGCAGTTATATAGTGATAAATATGCAGCTCACTCAATTTCCAGTAATTCATATTATTAACTACTAATTATGGTGATAATCAGCTGCTTCTGTATTTCCTTATAGGAAAATTTTTTCCTATTTATAGCAGCATGCCAGGGTTAGCCAATAGCTAACCAGGGTCAGCTATTTTTAAATATGGATGCTATAAGGGAAAAAGGAAATGCATAGACCAAATTAAATTTCAAAAATTTCCATGTATGGGAACCAATTTTCCACATCAGAAACACACAAAATTGTTTGTAGTTTTTTATTTTTTATTCCAAATCACTGCACATGTGCAATGATCTTTCCTGCAGTTATGGATGTGGATCCAAGCTGAATTGGATAAAAGAAGGATAAAGAGAAAAAAAAACCACTATCTTGCAATTGGCAGTAAGTTTTCACACTGCAAGCAGTATAAGCACTGGCAGCATACTGCTAGAATTTAAATACCAGCCTAAAAATTTCTGAGTCTCTACAACTTCAGCATTAAAATACTAAGCTAAAAGGCCTAGCAATAACTTGGAAACAAAGTGAGAAATCAGAGTTTGAAAACACTGATTTCATAAACTGACAGGCACAACAAAAATACTATGATGTAAGTCAAGGTTAAGATGAAAAAGCACATGTATTAATCATATTATGGGATTTTTTAATCTCAAGAGCCTACTTCTACTCCATAGCCACAAGACATAAGAACAAATTCACTGGTAATGTGCTTGCAGTAAGCACCTGCACATCTGAAATGACATGAGACTGTCAGTCTATCCCACCACAGCACCCAGCATGTGCAGCTGACAAATATAAATTGATTTCAATACTTAAAATAGCAAATATCCTTATGGAAAATTAGCAGCCAAACAGGAAATGATAAACATTCTGCCTACAACCAGGAGTGCACACACTACCTCCCATCCACAGTGCAAGTGACTATAAACAAAACACTGTAAGGGCCACTTGTATGGTCAGGTTCTGCCTCTCATTTTGCACAACTCCAATCCTACCTGCCACAGGCAGCAGCTGATGCAGAAATTGGAACCTAGTATGGCTTTTTAAAGAACCAGTTTTAGAAAGCTCCTCTTACCTCAGCCTCTTTCTGCTGGAGGATTCTATCCTTGTCCACCACTTCCTCTTCAACAGGCCTATTGAAGAAAAGAATGCATTGACAGCATAAATACAGAAGTAAAAATCTCCAAGAACAGATTCAAGACTCATATTTCAATTAATATAACATCAAAGTCTACATTCTTCCATGTAGAAGAAGGGCAAATTAGGACATTTTAAAAATCATGCTGCCCTTTTGTAAAAGGCCATCTTTACCTCTCCTGCTATTCACTCCCCATTTCTTAAATTTTCTTTACTGCTATATGGATTTTTTTTTTTTGGCAATTTACTTTAATGAAGAGATTTCCTTCACTATCCATTCATGGTACAAAAATCAATCACTAAAAAGCTGTGTAGGCTATTTCATTTCTTCTTTAACATCAAAATGCTTTGCTGGATACTTGAAGAACAAGTGAAATGAGGACAAAAGTAAGTTACTATCCAAAAAGATGCAGCAAAGGCAGTTGTGGACTTTTTGCCTTAAGTTGCCAAGGATAGCCTTGTCAAGAATTAAAAAAGATATAAGAAATTCCATAAAACACACAAATTATCAGAAAACATTGTTTGGTCTAAACTTCTCTTTTTAGCTACACATGAAGGAGCAAGAGAAGCAGTACATTCCTAAGAAGACAGACTGGGGCCTATTTAAATTTGCCCACTAGCATTCATTTTCTTCAAGCAGACATCATTACATAAAACCTATCTTGCTTGCAGGCACCTTCCTCCTGCACATTCCAATTAAAAGCATAGAGCAAAAGGGATTTAAGCTGCTTATAAGCACAGCACTTAGCTATATATTATTCCTCTTCAAGAAGAGCATTTCATACAAATTTCAGAATTCCACAGATTGGAATCTCATCAGAGATAATTGTTTACAGGTGGGATTGGTTAGGAGGAAGAGCAGATCCCCTGTCAGTGGGCAGTGAGAGCAGCAGAGCCCAGGGCAGCCCACACTTACTTGCCAGTGCGTTTTAACCTCTCGGAACGGAAATTCTCGTAGTGCAAGTCTTGGGTCACCTCCTGCAGGTCCTGCATGTGAGTCCTAGAACATGCAAAGGGCTGTTGAACACTCAGCAAAGCAAAGAAAAACACTCTTTTATCTTCTGCTTCTGTTTTATCTAACTAATGTATTTACCAGAAAATTAAATCCTTACAGACCAAGCCAGCCAGAACTCTGCTTCCAAGTTCATTGATCTTTAACTCAGTCCTAAGTGCCCCACCAATACCATTCAAAGACCCAAAAGATGCTGTCCTCCTCTTGGTCATTAATTATTTCAGATGAGTTGTTTATACCAGTTTTTGCAGTGTTAAGAACTTGCAAAGACAGTAATTCAGAAAGATACTTTAATTCCAAAAGTATTTTATTACTCTTAAGTGCTGTCAAATATCATTTGTAACTGGGAACTAGGTGGAGCTGCTTGGCTCGTACAGCTGCTGAGATTGCTTAACAATTTCCAATTGCAAAGACAAAAAAAAGGAAAACCCACTTGCTCCCAGTGCCCAGCAGAGGGCAATCTCTGCCCAGTGCAGACCCAATTTGGAATGACAACGGAGTTCATTTCCAACAATAGCAAAACATCGTTTTTTAAAAAAATCACTTCAAACCATTTACGCAGACAGAATATCCGTATCGGCTAAAATCATAACGGGGTGGGGTGTCATACTTAACAAAGGATTTACCCTACTGCCAAGAAAATTGTACTTTGCTTTTGGAATATTCTTCACTTTGAAGAGTATTTTAAAAGCCTCTCTGCCCCACCAACTGCACTATAACAAAATTTCAGTTGGTATGTTCAGCCATCAGATAAGTTTACATAAGGCATAAAATCATCACATATATCTGGAAACATAAAATATAGAAAATACTTTCTGACTTGAGAGATCAGAGGGTACAGCAGAAAAACAAGCTGCAGGGGACTCGAATGTAACTCTATGCTGGCATCAGGGCTAGTTTTAAATTAAGGGATGAACATTGCCATAGGTTTGTAGCCATTGTGCAGTGACGTCAGCACAGGAGATGGGGTCACTTCATCATTACTCACACCAGCATTGTGCGCAGCTTGAGGAAATCGTTGTGCTCTGGATTTTCAACCTCAACAACTCCCCAGGGGTACAGGCGGCCTCGGATTTTTTTCCCCTTCACCTCAATAAGTTGATTGGATCCAATAACAGCGAAGGGAATGCTAGCCTAGTTAAGACAGAAAAAACAAGTCACTGTTTTGATTTTTGGCTGGTTAGTTGTTGTATTTTGCTTTGTCTTTCTTTTAAAGAAAGCACAACAATTCAAGTAACAGGCAAGAGAGGAGGAAAAGAAATGCTGACAAACACTCTCTACTAAAACCCTCTTACTTTAAAAAACCAACAAATCCCATTTTAGGCAATGGAACCTCTCTTTTGGAGCACCTGTAGCTGTGTTAGGACTGATTTGTTTTAACAGAGGCCCAGAAGGAAATGACGCCTCACTTTAGGAACACTCAACTGTTGTTCAAGTACAGTTTGGGCATAATGTGTCACCTGATATAACATCATGCATGGAGAACAGCCAACAGAAACATACTTCAGATGCAGAGTGAAGTAGCTAGAAAGAGAATTTCAGACACATTCTTCAAACACCTTTGCAAGCACAAAGAGGAAATTACTTCAGTAAAACCTTGATTATCTGCTTTAACACAAGGCAAGTTGTTAATTAGTACAGCAACTTTAACACCCACAATCTCTCTCCCTGCTCACATGTTAAAACGTTTGAGTCAGAAAACAGACTGCAAATACTAGTTCAAGGTGAACAGTGGTTTACACTTAAAAGAGGAAAGAAGAGAAAATCATGACACACTACACTTGGAATTCTGATGAAGCAGAGACTGGAATAAAAGGGATTATAATTCAGAGTCAACACACAAAGGAAACTGAAATTTTCAACACATTGTGAAAGGAATAAAGTATCGTTAGGCATGTTGTAGATTGAAGAACTACAGCAGCAAAATGATAAACTAGGAGTGAAACTTGCCTTTAAAACTCTAGTTTGTTCTTTAAACTCCTCATCTTCATCAGAATCAGCATCAGGGAGCTGATAAATCCTAATACCATGTTCAGAAATCTCATCCAGAACCTGAAAGTTTGCAAAAAAGAAAGAATAATACTCTTAAGTCATTGAAGAGGTATTCAGTTTAAAATATACAAAATTGATTAACGAGTCTGTCACAAATATTCACCTGACTCAGTGTCCAAATTGCAAAATAGCACAGACTTGAAGATTTTTTAAAAGGCACAAAAGACAAATGTATTTTTGGAAAACACAGCAAGTAAATAATTTAAAAATGCCAGAAGTTTTACAAGGCAAATACAGAAGCAAAGTGAGGTTAATATGAAAAAAGAGAAGTAACAAGAAAGAATTCATTAGTGACAGAATCAAAACCATTCACCTTGTGTCAAAGTATATTTTTGTGCATTTCATACATTCAGAAATGTAGAAGACAGTGCCTAGTGCCTCTTGAATCAAAAAAGATAAAAGCTTATTATTCACTTTAACTGGAGAAAGTCATTAAAAATCCACTAAGAAAAAGATCCTGTTCTTAAACAGTTTTCTTTGCCACTAATGTCTGAGGGTAACATAAAAAATACAGTATCCGTATTCCTGGGCACATTCTTTTCCTAATGAAATCACTGCAGGGGTGAGCAGCCAGCATTAACTCCAGGCCTTTGGCAGTTTCAAAAGGTGGCACAAGTCAATTCCTTTTTCAAAACCAAAGAGAATGTTTCTTCTGCCACACTACTGAATATACTTTGGTCAGCTCTTGTCACTGCAGCAAATGCACTGACAAGTTACTCTCAGTAAAGGAAGTGTGGTGGTATAAGGAGAGCATGAAGAATGCTGAGATTCCACAGTGACTCTCTCCAAAGGGATCCTGGATGTTTCAGCAGAATAGGGGAACTGTGCAAACTTCCTAGAGCAGTGACTGTAACCCCACCAAGAGCACCTGGACTAAGCAGCTGCCCTGCTCAATGAACTCTCAGCACAAAGTTTGGGCAAATTCAGAGAGAGTTTTGAAGTAATGGTAAAAATATTCAGAAGAGCCTCTGTAAAGACTTGTGATGCCATTAGTGTGTATACAACTGGAAATTAACTTGGTAGCATGAAAACAAGTAGACTTTAAATAGAGAGGTCTTAATGAGCCTTCTCTGAGTATTGCTGGGTTCCTCCAACCTCTGTCATGATGGCAACTGACAGCTACAGAATAAATTAAAATTGTCCAACCAGAACTTGGTTATTTAACAGGTGTTTAAAAGAAAACAATTCTCCAGACCATTGGCAGAGGAAAGTCCATGTATGAGCCACAGCTGTTCCCTGACATTGTTTTCCTGCCAGGTATATAAACATCCCCCACACTCACACACGCGCGCACACTGAGTACCACGAGCCCCCACCTACACAGAGAGCAACATTTTATAGAGAGAAAAGAATTTTGGGAGTAAGTGTTGCCAAAAAGTAAATAAGACATTCACAAAATGACATTTAAATAAATGGATTTTGTTGCTATTTTGCAAATTGAAAGAGACCTGAACTGACACCAAATGCCAATAAAAGACGCACAGCTGGGATGGGTGGGGCAGCACTGCAGTTCGATGCCTTTAAGTAGTTGCATAAAACAAGAAAGCACATTTAACCTGGCTGAGATCTTTTGAGATAAAATGCAAGTGGAACAATAACGGGAAAGCCAACAGCAAGGGGTGCTAGAATAATATATTACAGCTGTTAAACTTAGTGTTTTCCTGAAAGGAAAAAGAATTGCAATAAAAACAAACTGTATTTTATGCTCCTAACAATGAAACAGCATTTTGCTTCTTCAAATCTGAATTTTATTGGCCTCCGAGGATTCTGTGTTCCTAAAGATTAGCCTTCCCATGGGAAATTAAAAAAAAGTCAAAATATTAGTTCCCCTCTCATGAAGTCATTCTTTTGAGCATGTTTCCTTAGCACCCTTGCATGGCACAGCTTGTGAAACTGCCGTGCATTTCTTCCCACTCAAGAGTTTGAAAAAATAACTTTGAATTCCAGAAAGCCCAAACAGGAATTACTCCAAGCTGGGTTTCCTTTGCAAGCACCACAAGCTAATCTTGCTGCTTAATCCATAGCGGCAAAACAAAAACATTTTACTTCAGATTGATGGCCAAATGGCAGAAACATCTAAAAAAAGCAAGACTTCAAGCTGCGTCAGCAAAGCAGGACTTTGATTCCTACTCTTGATTAGAGACTCTGTTGGCCAAGATGCTTTGAGTTAGAACAATATACAGTAGCTTTGATTTTCAAAGCTTTGGAAGCACATTATACATTTGACTTAATATAAACTCAGTTTGCAGAGTGACCTTTGCCAGCAGTACAAAAATAATGAAACTTGTTTACCTGCTCCCTAACCACTCCCTTAGACTACAGATGCCCTTCTTCTTGTTGTACTTAGCAGTGCATAAATGTGGTGTCCATATGTCTAAGTCCAGACTGTTTTAAAGATCAGTTAGTTAAATTCCCAGTGAATTGCATTTTTAAATAATTAATGTTCCACTTAAATGCCTCCTTCAAATCTTTCAACATCATTCTGCTCCCAAATGCTGAACCAAAAAGTAAGCAACTGTGAATACTGAGCCTGAAGTACACTGCTGAAAGGGTGAATTATGGGGGTTTTACAAAAAGTGGCAGTTCCACAAACAGTGTAGATAAAAATCTTTCACAAAGTCAGTACAGTAACAGAAAAGGAAAAGCAATAAAACCTGCACAATCAGCCACATTTTTGCTTTATGATTTCCCTATGAGTTCCTTCAATTTGAAAGCAGTGCACCTGTCATTACTGTATAGTGTTTGTGGAAGAACAAAATTAAAGTTCAAGAGCTGGGACAGAATTTCTCCCAGCAAGATCCAAAGATCTTCTTGTCTCAATTAACAGACTTTTTAAAATTTCCTTCCTCCTTTCACCAGGTTCACCATAAAGCTGCTCATTTCTGTACAAGTATCTCCTTCTCTTTTCAGTGGATCTTTGCCTGCATTGCAGACAAGGTTCATACAGTCACACTGTCCTCACTTTTAACCTTCTCAAGAACTAAGGGGCACTCTGGCCGCTGCTCTCAGACATCTCCACTTCTTCCAGGATTGCGTGAACGCTTGTTACAAACAGTGTTGCTACTGGGTGCACAGCTTTGCTAAGATACATGAAGCCAAGAACAGCCACATTCTTATCAAATGTAACTGGCAAAGCACATCAGCCTTCAGTGAAGCCTTCCCACCTCACACTTCCCCAAGATTAGGTCCTCGGCCAATATCATTTACCCCTCTTCAATTAGAAATTAGTTTATATTTGTCTTTAAATTGTATGGATTGCTCTGTTCTCATGATCAAGTGTTAGACCTACTCTTCTCTTCAGCCTCTCCCTCTCCTTCAGTGTCAGGGTGTCAGCCTTGGCAATCACAGGGACAATGTTGACCTTTCCATGAAGAGCCTTCATGAACTCCACATCTAATGGCTTCAGTCTGCCAACAAGCAGGGAAAAAAAAAAAGATTTAAAATAGGCATGGAGTCTTGTGTTGTTTGCTTTATAACAGACCAAATGTATTAAAAATTATTTATTTCAAGTGTCAACATAAACAGTATTTTCAGAATAAATTAAGCCATTAAACTTAATGCCTTTGCTTATCAACTTGATTGTGCAAAGTTTAAATTGTAATTAAAACTGTCTCTATATAATGAAGTGGATGTTAAAAGCATTTATGTTTCTGAGTGATAAACAATGCAGTACTGACTGCCTTGAAACAATATTAAATGCAAAAGGGGACAAAGTAAAGGAGAGCACTAATTTCCATGGACTGTTTTAATTGCACTAACTGACAGGTTGGGAACTCAATTAACATTACTGCTAAGTTACCAGCTCAAGTAATGAACAGACTTATGATCTGTTATGAAGGCACAACACCCTAAAGTACTAAAGCTCAAGGTTTTCCTTACCCATGCCCAAAAGGAGAGATGAAGTAGAAGCAGCAGTGGACTCTGTTGTCGATGATGTGGCGCCTGTTCAGCCCACTCTCATCATGGAGGTACCGCTCAAACTGGTTGTCAATGTAGTGGATGATTGTTTTGAAGCTGTGGTATGGGAGGGGAAGAAAGACAGGCATCTTACATCAGCTTTAAATAATAAGGAAAGAATCAAAACACTACTGTTACAGAAAATTCAACTTCCTAGCATTTTATCCAGTAAAAATATTTTTTACTGAGGAAAAATATTTTGATAATGCAAAAGGGTGTTTTCATAACAACCACCACGTGTCAACTTATGCCTAGAGCCAATTTCAAGTGTTACTCTGTTCACTGGATAAAAAGTTCAAGTGCCAGTTCAGAAAAAAGCACTTGGTGCTGAGACAACACAGGAACAGAAGATTGAGGATTTTTCTGCTTTTTTTTCTGGGGGTAGGGGCTGAAGATTTGTTTTTAAACTGGTTGATGAATGACATATCCCGGATATCCTCTTGATTTACAACCCTGACCCTAGAGCCAGGTTTCTATAGTTACCTCTGAAAATTCTGGTATTCTGTTAGAATTAAGTACAAATACATTTGCAAGTCATGCACTCAAGCATCACACGATTTATTAACTTATTTTTGTTACCTTACAGAATTCTTTTCTATTGGCAAAGGAAAAAACTACGAAGTTCAAGGCAATTTAAAATATTCCTTACAAAGAAGTAAATGAGCACAAAATCTGATCACAGATTAATCAGACCCAGAGAGCAGTGACTAGAGAGAAAAGAAAACAACACATAACTAAGATCATTTTAAGCTATTCCAGAGCATGCAGACACCTGCAAACACCATTCATATAAAAGGACACTTTACATTAGGTACTGCAGGGGAAGGGAAGGAAACAGCTGACGTAGATAAGGTGAGGCAGATGATTGTGTATCATGAACATGTCTTAAACTACTTGAGAACAAACTAAGTAGAAAGCTTGAGAAATAGGAACACCCATATTTCTGTTGCTGAGAAAACACAAACTTGATGAGATACACTGAAGGAGGAAACAGAACAGATAAAAGAAAATTAATAATTTGGAAAATGAACACAGAATGCTGCCAAACACTGCAATAGGCAATGTTTTACCCAGGGCTGGATGGCTGCAAAGGAGATAATAAAAGAAAGTAAAAAGAATGATGGAAGAGATCCTGGAGGGAATTTGATTCTCCAAAGCTAAGTAAGCTTTTGAATTGAGAAGGAATAAATCCACAGTAGAATATATACACACACATTTACATCATTGCAAGATTTAGCTATTCTAAGTCATATTACAGAAGACAAGAAAGCAAAAGATGGAATTCATTGGGTTTTGACCTTTGTGCTACTCATTAGGAAACAGCATCTTAAAACCTAAATGTGCTGAAACACATCAATATGGCTTTTGTTCCTGTTAATCTTCAATACCTCTCTTAGCTGGTAAAAGGTAACGAGACTGAACACATACAAATACTAGAGCAGAAACCAAACACTAACAATGGGAGAGAACTGTCACACATTTCCCTGGCAATGCCATTAGTTGACGTGCAGTTTTCTAGGTCCAATTTTCCCTGTAAATATGGTGTCAGTGTCCTGTAGCTCCTGACTTCCGGGAAACACCTGGCTCACACCACACTGTGTCATTACATGGGAGACAGCACATCCTGTATTCTAACAGCAAACAGCACAAACGCTGCACTTAAACCCACTGGGGAAAATGAACAATATTATCAAGCTGCCAAAACCTATAAAATATAGCCTTAGTCAGTTTAAAAAAAAAAAAAAAGCAAAATAAGAAAGAAAAAAAAATTTAGGAGCAGCCAAAGAGCTGAGAGCAGCTATCAAAGAATGACCTGTGACACTGCAAGCAAGATGAAATAGAGTGTGATCAGCAATATCTAACAAGTTCACTTGTAGTCTGTTTTTGTCAACCACTTTTTTGAGGCCAGATATCCGAGTAAATCTAAGCCTCAAGCAATTTTTTTCCTCTCTTGATTAGATCCCTCTGTTCTGATGGAAGATGTTATTTTAAGGACATGCTTCTCTCATGATCCCAATGTACTTAGGGATGGAACGATGCTGAATGTGTCAAACCTCCCACCACAAAGAATTTTGCTGTTCTCCAAACACACCCCTAAAGTGATGCCATGAGCAATCCTAGCTGTGGGTCTGATTCTAGAATACAGAACTCCAGCCAGCACTAAAGCTTCACAAAGAATCTTTAAAAAATCATCATGGTTAACTGTGCTTCACCTCCAACTTACCTTTCATACTGTTTTAAGTACAGTAGCATCCAGAAAACAAGAATTACACTACTTCAGAAAGTATGTTGTACTAAATCTATAACAAAGCATTTCCCAATCCAACACTGTTGTTTTTCCAATCCTATCCAATAGACCTCCTGGACACACTCCTACTAGCACAGAATCCTAATCAGTACTTCTTATTTGACATAAAATACATAAAAATTTACCTCAGCTCCCATCCCTGAAAGTCAAACTCTAAAATTTAGCCCTTTCATCAATGCACAGAGACTAAAAGCCATTAGGGAACCTACTCAGGAGAAAGATATTTGAATTGCTACCTCCTAGAGACACCATGCCACTTTATCTGTGTTCAAAAACAGCCTTAGTAAAATCTGTCACCTCGAAAAACAAGTAGTCTGCACAAATTACAGCCTTCCCAAAAAAAGAGCTTTATAAATCTTGGATCATGATCAGCACTATCTACTGGTGAACCATGATTGCAGTAAATGCTCCTGAACACAAACATAAGTTCAAGAACATGAACTTGCTCCTTCCTCTGAACTAGCAAGGAAGGAAGGTGGTTGCTCTGGGTTAGTCTTCACTACAGCTCAAAACAAAGAGTCTGCCCATCCAAGTCCCCAAGACATGCTGTAAAGATTAAGAGACTTTGTCAAAATGACACTTGCCGTGGCTGAAAGGCTTTTCATGTGACATAAGTGGACTAAAGAGATACCATTAACTGCATCTTTTTATTTTGTAAGATGTAAGTACTATTTGTTCCTGTAGTGTATTTGATGTTTCAAATTTGTCACATAAAATTAGGTATAACCTGTTCTACTCAGCTCTGAATCACCACAGAATGATTCTATTCAGAAAACCTCCAAAAAGAAAGGGGAAAATCTGAACACGTAGGTCTCTAAGAAACATCTGAGCAGAATAAACAAAGAGCATTAGAACACAATCAACAGGAAGAGCTCTCTCTAACACAATGCACAGGCTGCAGAGCCTCAGCTCCAGCGGAAGGAAGCTCTAGTCAACAGTGCACAAAATAAGCAAGAGCATGATGCAGCCCAGAAAGATGCCTTTGTGTTATACCAAAAGTTCCATTTTTTTCAACTTACTAGAGTAGGAAAAGTGGGAGGAAAATAAAAATCTCACTAGAGCTTCACTTTCAGACTTTCATTTAGTGCATTACAGAACTTCACTGCCTTCACTTTTGCTGTGTTCCTACATCTACACCATAGAAAGAACAGAAAAACCATCTGATAATAAGAAGTGTGCAGATATATCATTCTGTCACTGAAAGATTGCAAAACATTCTATTAGCATTAATTATGTTTATTTATCTGCTATTTATCTATTTCCTGGTCTTTAAGTGAAGGACTCAAATCAACCTGTATTAGCTTTATGTTGCATTTCTCTGCTCAGTGATCCTTGTTTGCCTTGGGATTACCACCACCACAAATAAAGTGTCAACAGAATTAACAACTAAATAAAATAAATATTGTTGGCACTTGTTAAAAGACAACCATATGAAAATTCAAAGTTTTAAGCCACTGAAACTAGAAGCATTCTAGTAAGGATATCTAATCTTCATTTGAAAAAATTCATTGGCTTTTCACAGTTAAAGAGAATTGCCTGAATGTGATTATTTGGAAATTATGTTTAGTTTGTCACAAATTGCCCCATTCCTCTCTAGCTGCTTTACAGATTTCTTTCTTCATAATAATTATGCTAAAGCAATTATGCATATTTCCCAGTGTATCTACTGACAATTATTTCATTCATTAAAGACTGTCATTGTATTTAGGCCAGAGAGAGCCAAGTGGTAACTTCATCATAAAAAGCCATCAGTTCTACCCAAGTTGCTGGTAGTAGCATATAGATATACATATGATAACATATAGAGCACAGGGAACGAAAAGAACTGTCTTAAAAACATGGAAACTGGATGGGCCAGAGACAGGGAAAGTAAAAGACAAAAAGTTTCCCCCCACCAGAATTTTGTTTGATTGGAATGGCCATAGAGACAAAAAGCTGACTGCAGTGCTCAGAGAAACTTTTTGAAGGAGAGGCTCTTAACTTTGAGGCAGAATTATAGACACACCCTACAAAACTTTTAAAAACATCAGAAGTGGTTAGAAAATTGAAATTGGAAGTTGTAGAAAGTACCAGACACACTAGAATAGTGTTTGTGTAAGACACACACTTTATTAACAAAGCAGGATTTCCACACATACCAGTCCTGGCTGTTAATGGCATCTCCATATCCTGGTGTGTCAACTACAGTTAAACGCAGCTTCACCCCTCGCTCCTCTATCTCTACTGTGGAAGCTTCGATTTGAACTGTCCTCTCTATTTTCTCTAAAATAAAGGAACATTTGGATTGTTATTTGCCTATCAATTCCTGCAGAGACCCCCACAGGAGGAACTGCAAGCTCAAGTGTGTTGTAACCTGCATGACACAAAATATTTTATCAAAATAGACAAAGCAGCAAGCAGAATTTAACACCACGTTTTTGTAAGTAAACAACAAACTAAAACATGGGTTTACTTATGACAATATGCAAAAATAAAATAATAATACTCAGAAGCTCAATAGATTCTTTGCCAAAAGGTTATTTACATCTCTAACCAGGATTTATGGCACTACAGACAAAAAGCAGTGAGAAGAAATGGGGATTAGAACAAAACCACATTTAGGTATATGATACCTAAAAGGTTTGGGAGGTGTTTTTTTTTAATAGCAGCTGATAAAGAAACAAAAGCTGTCTTTGAAAGGAAATCTAAATAAGAAAATGACAGCTCAACAAAACATAATTTAGAAAATTTAAATACAGCAGGACAAAGTGGTGTAATGGGTAAAGAATGAAGCAATATTAACTGAAAGAACAAGAAATATTATAGGGTGGAGTGTGCTGGAGGAACTGCAAAACCACATTTACCTGCTGCTCCAGGAATGTAACGTTCTGGATAAAGATCAGTCAGGAACAGACTGTTAATTAAAGTGGATTTTCCTAAGCCAGACTCACCTACAAACAAAATAATTCAGGTTATTAAGCATATACACTTTTAACTCCAAGATTTTTAAAGCACCTTGTCTTTCTCCAAGCCCACATTATGGAGGAAAAATAATTTGTTCATCAGGATCCACCCTAGCTTTTGATATAAAAACATCAAAGGTTCAGCTAAGCACTTTGAAAACACCGGAAAAACAAGCCTCCAGTGTTTTCATAAATGTAACATGAAAATTGCAAGTTTACTGTAACAGATGTCACAATAAAGCTGAAAGGTCATACAGCACTTGGACTATAGATCTAGAGATAGCTCAGTTACTTGAGGGAAATTACAGGTTTTGTCTTTAAACTTACAAAATCAGAGCTGTAACTCTCCTGCTGAAAATTTCTGAGAGCTTGAAGGTTTTCCTAAGCTACAAATTGAACCTGGAACACTGCTGGGAAGACAAATGAGTAAAGCAATTCCAAACTAATCGTCAAGTTTTGCACCCTTACACTTAGGCACATATAGGTTCCATGAAACTGAAAATCATCAAGCAAATTATTCAAAATTCAGTTGAGAAGTTTCATAATTCTGTAACTTCAAATGATACAAATTTTGTCCTACATCTAAGTAACAAAGTTAAATGTGTAAATTTAACTACTAAATCTGAGTTGCAAAAAAGTGCTTGTTTCCTAACTTACGGAATCAAAGGAGCCATCATTTAGACCAACTAGCCATATTATTTGAGATGAGAAAATTATTTATATTTCTCATCACAAACTACATGACACAAGAATTCTACAATTATCACAAATTACCTGTTTATCTCACAAACACTGCTGAATGCTGTCACCAGGTAATCCCGAATGGTACTACAGAGCACATTTTCATTTTTCACTGACTGCTACAAAAGGGTAACTGTGGACTCCTTTTGCACATGCAAACCATTAAACTGATTTAATGTAAACATAATTCAACATCACTAGGAAGAGCTTTGTGCCTACAGGACTCTCCATCAAAGGGATTCAGAGGTGCTCATTGACAGAAAGGCAAATTACAGGTTTATCTCTGACACCAGAGTGAGTCAGTACAGAACAGCAGAAAGCACAACAGCAGCATCACCATTTCAACAGCAAGACACTCACTGGGTGCATTCATGCCTTCAGTGGGGAAACAAGAGAAAGATTAAACAACCACCCCTGTCATCTGACAATGAATCAGGAATGCCAAAATGTCCTGTTGGCTCCAAGTCATCATCTTCAATCACTATAAATACTCCCTCCTACTAAACATGACAAAACAGTAGCATATGCAATTAGAAAGTGTATAGAGGTTCAAAGCTTTTTCTACTGCTAACAGTCAATTGCTAAGCAGGAAGATGTACACATCTATGTGAAAGAAATGTTGTTGTATAACAGTCAAAAATACTTTAAGAGCTCACTTACCAACCACCATGAGTGTGAATTCAAAGCCCTTCTTCACAGATTTCCTGTGAACCTGGTTGGGCAGATTAGCAAATCCCACATAGCCTGCCGAGTCGGAAAACTGACAAGAAAACAAAAGTTGAATACAAATGAGATCCCTTCCCCCTAAAAAGCTGAAAAAGAGTTTCCTTGATTCTACACAATAAAGTGCAGGGGTATATAAAGCACAAGGAAGAATAGAGAATGAAACCATTTTTGCTGCAATAGCAAAGCAGACCTTAAAAAGGCTCATTTACCAAGCAGGCTGATATAAATAGAAATCAGATAAATACCTTGAGCTACACAAACAAAGCCTCTCCTTGGATAAAATAAAAATCTGCAAGCTTGCAGGATACACTATTATTAATCTTAAGAAATAAATACAGCTCCAAATAAAAAATACTGTTCAAATTTGGTGTCTGCTGCTACTAGCTTCTATAAAAATAATGCATATGCTTACAGGTAAAAAACAAGAACATTGTACTAATGGGGGATTACTGAGATACAATCACACAGAGATGTATCTTTTGCTGCTTAAGTTGTTCACCTATCTTCACAATCTTTGACTTCTAACACAAAAGCAGGAAAAAGAAACATGCCTGAAAAACTTATCAAAGAGATTTGGGCTATGCACAGGGCAGTCTGCTGCAACATCTGTTACCCATTGACTGAAAACCTCATAGGAGCCTAAATAAGAACTGCAGCCACCTGATTTAGGGCCCTGTGGGCTATCTGGAACCAAATGTCTTCTTCACAGATGAGTTTATGATGAGAACAGGTTTTCTACAATGCCAGACACTTCCAGTGGTGTGGGGGGATACAAGGGAAATCACTTAAAAGGGAATTACTTATTTGCTACCAATCCTTTTAAACCCCATCCAGGTGGGCAAGAACACTAGGAATGAAGGTTTCTCACATGAAATTTCCTTAGGTGAAGGTACCATTTTAGGTTTGTGAGCAGAGACTGAATGTCTGGTGAACACCACAAAGTCCATCACTAGGATCTCATACAATCTCTGTTAACTAAGCAGTTCCTTCTAAAAAACACATCTGAAGCAATAAGGTATAATTTATTCACAGTTTTATCACTTCACTAAAACTACAAATGTTTTCAGAAGTTCAAGAGATTCTAGACAAAATAATGGCTATGCAGCAATCTCTTTACCTTTACTTTTTCACCAGACTGAGACATGTTTCTTCACTTCAAGTTTCACTCACTGGAAGAAAAAAAGCCATAGTGCATGTTAGCTGACTTGAAGATTACATTACTTTTAATTTTGAACTGATCACATTTTATTCTAGTCAAATGACATGTCACATACTCAAGGATTACCAGAACAAACAAACCATAATCAAAATGTCTTCCTTCTGAAATAAGTCACAGGAGTACTTAATTTAAATACTTAAAAATTTCAAAACAGAAAAATTCCTTTAAAATGCAAAATATTGCAATTTAGTATCATAACAAACTTTTACCCATCCTGTCTTTGTAGAAGGATAGTTCACAGATAGGCGAATGTAATGCAAATGTCGTCCAAACATTACATTTGAGAACTATTACCACATCCAAAAATTCTCATGAGAACAGGACACCTACAGGATTCCCAGGTAAGGGTCAGAACATGACATTATTTTCAGTGACACCAAAGTGCTGTTGCTGAACAGGACACTACACTTGGCTAACCCATGTTGGACACAAAAATTCACGCCAGGGTGAAGGACTATCAAAAGAGATTTGTTCCTTAGTTTCAGACACCCAGAACAGCTGGACTTTGGCAAGCCCTTATCTCTTTACTCAAGGATGTTAGCTGTGCTATAGATTAGTTATCAGGGCAAGAGCAAAGCCCTTTCATTTAGAGCAGCCCCAGAGCAGGGACAGGAAACGCAGAAGCGGCAGGAGCACTTCACAGCTTGCTTTGTTGACAATGCAGCTCTTGGCCTGGAAAAGTAGGGAAGTGACCTATGCAGGCACCTGTGTGTTCAGACCTTCCTGTTGGGTAGCAGGAGTCATTTTAGCAGGATACAGTCCAGTTTCTGACACTGGCACTTTGACAGTCAAATCCTGGCACAGTCCAAGCTCTGGACTGAAGGAAAAGTTGAAGTTAGCATAATTGCTGCTTGGAGTTCTAAAGAAAACAGATCTTCAGCTCCCATGGTATTTCATTTGCCCTGCAGCAGGCATGTAAAATTCTGGCAGCTGTGCAGGTACCAGCTACCCCATAAGCAAGGAAAGTTAGTTTTTTTTCCTCCTCCAACTTTTCCCCCATACCCAGCCCATTTGCTTTTACTAATGAAAGCCCAATGCATTCATTGCCTGGAAAACAGGGAGGCCCTCATTCTCATAATCTGTCAGCCTCTAATTGTGTATTCCTCAAAACATTCTGGAAAGCATCTCTTAAGAATGGTTTTGAAAACCAGAACTTCTTTTCCTTTGACCAGTATGCAAAGGCTCATTCCAGCCTCCAGCCAACCATTGTCACAGATCCTTAAAGAAAAGACACTCACAGTCCCACTGACAGAAGTAACTCTGTTGACATCTTGTTTCTAAGTTTGGAAACCTCTGTTGTCACCTTGTCAATAAAATTAGTAACACAGTTCAAGAGTTTAGAAAAGCTCATAGTTACTGAGTGCCAATGCAGATATACCTGACCCATTTCTCACAGTAATGCCAGAGGAGAATCACTCAGGCCCAGTGCCCATAGGTAAAGGAGACAGGGGCATGATTCAGGTTTCAATATGTATGGCAAATTCCCTACTTCTACTTTAAGCTGACAGTGTAGTCACATCCATTGCAGCATTCCTCAAGTTACTTGATTAAAAAGCAGAAGAGTCAAAATTGCCATCAACTGATTATGACACATTCAGTCTCAAAGTTAGTCTGTTATCTCATAAAGAACATTTTTTCATAAAATCATCTGTTCCACAAGTACAGCTTACAAAACCTGTTTGCTACAAGGCAAACCACATCACCTTGTGTCTTCCTCTGACTGAAAGTTGCTGTAGGCAAAGCAGCAGCCCAGCTGCTCTGACCACATCATGGCTGCAGCTCACACTTCCAGGTAGTAACTTCCCAATGTCTTTTGTTAGAACAGAAATGTGCTAGCCAAAGTTACCTCAACAACAACAAAAAACCCCACAGAAACACCTGCTGGCTGTTCCACAACACCTAAGGTGCCAGGGTTCCTTTGGGAACTCAGTTGCTCAGCCTTGACATTTTGCAATTCCTAATACTGCCCTCATGAGGTTTCCTCGAAAATCATTCCACCAAACCTCCCTGGTGACCATGTGCTGCCTTCCCAAAGCTCCACCATACAGTACAAATCAAAAGCTCAAAAAGAACAAAATGCCACATGTTAAATCCTCTTTCAGCACCAAACAAGCACAGCACTCCCAGCACTGCTCACCAGTGAGAGTTTGGCACTGCACCAGTCCCTGCTGTGCATCAGTGAGCACAGAAACCCACAGCTCTGTCTGCACACAGCTGACTCAAACACCAGAGAAGCTGAGTCTCTGGCAACACTCTGGGGAGTTCACACACCTGAAAATTGTAGCATCTAATTTCTTATCAATTGTCCAGAACAAAATGCATAAAAAACTCCACAACTGAGGCAAACCAGAGCAAGAACTGTATCTGCTCCACTTTCTTTAGATTTTCAAAGTACTCTTTCAATCAGTATGAGATAAGCAAAACAGCACATTAAAAACAGTTCAAGGAGAAAGGAATAGATAAGATACATTTGCAACAAATTACAAAAAGCAGTGAAACTTTATCTGTAAATAATGCTGGGCTCTACTTAGCAGGCCTAGCAGTAAAAAAGGGACACTGTGCTACAGCACAGGAATGTCCAAATCTGGTTTTGAACAGCGGATAACATAACAAAGTTTCATTTTGGATTCCAACAAATCCCTATCCTGAACAATTTGATGCTGGCAATGCAAAGGAGCAAAGTGCCACCGAGTTGAGCTGCAGCTGGACGTGCCATCCCACTGTCCCCTGCTAAGAGCAGAATTCCGGGGAGAGAGAGAGAGGGGAAGGAAAATGGGTCATTTCCTTTGTTCCTGTCAGGATGCAAGAAGTAAACTGTGAGGAACAGGCAGACTGGGAGCTTCTCAATAGGAGCCAGCACAAAGAAAGCACTACAAACATGTACAAAGGCATGGCCATATAAGGATATCAGACAACATTTTCAAGTAATCACTTCTGAGTGACCTCACAGCCATCTCGACCAGCAGAACAGCCCCCCTGATTTCTCAAATGAAGCTTCTTTCTTTCATCAGAGATTATATAACTCAGATACTTTTTTGGCAGTATTTAATAGCCACAGACAGGAGTAAAGACTTAAACAGGTTTCCCAGTGCTAGAAATGGTCTCAATAGCATCAGCATTCTGAAGTCACTTTTCAGATTTAAAGCAGACAGAAACACCAAGATATGTCAGTAAAACAGCAGTATTTATGGTTTCTCACTAAAAGAACTACAAAACCCAAGGAAGATATGTCAGATCTGAGTCACATCAATAATAATAGCAAAAATGGCATGATTGTGTGAATCACTGAGTTCTAACAAATGTATCCAGCACAGCCTGTTCTGTGTGCCATGTTTGTTCCTGGCACGTCCTCACCTCCACTGTGGAAAACCTCCTCCAGATGAACAATCCCAGATGGTTTCATTTTCCCTCATTAGAAATAGGTATTATCAATTGAAGGAATGCTCTTTTACACACTAACAATTCTGCTTTACTCCTATTCAGGAAAATGACTGCATCACTTCCACCAAACATGGACTTTACAGAAAATGCAACAACCCAGCTGTGACTTTTCCAGACAGACCACGCTATGGCTTGGAACTGATGTTCAGAGCTCATAAGTTCTGCAGACTTCCTTCTGGTATTGTATTTAAAGCAAGGAAACTGTACAGGGATTACTACTGGGAATGCATCAAAATTTGGAACACATCTGTGACTCAACAGCATGCACAGCACATATGCACAGCAAAAGGAGCAAGGACTAAACAGTTCAACCACCTGCATAAGCACTATTCTTAAAAGGTCAAGAAAAAGCAACCCACTAACCTAAAGCTCTAATCTTAAATATTTTATTTAAAGCTCCATTTCAACGCTAACATATGACTCTAAACAACTTCCTTTTGTACTGTTTTATCAATGAAAACAGACACTTGAAATGCACAAAGGAGGCAGTGGTACCGTTCTTGTGAATGATCAGTTTTAGAGATGATGTTGTTTCTATGTAAGCAGCGTTTGACAGTATTTTTGCCGAGTTACTGTGTCAAAAAGCACTGTTAAACGGACCTATAACTGTGAGAAACAGGGCCTTTTTAAATTAAAAAGATAAACATATTAGCCACGATCACTCATCAGGAAATAGGCAGCTCTGCCTCACATCCACAGAGCTGAAGTATAATTGTGTACATACTGCCAACGCACAGCAAACTGACAAATTTGTATTTAAATCATTTCCAAGTCATGCATAAGCCTCACGATACCATGAAGTCTCTGACCTGCAGGTGAACAATAATTAAAGACAAACAGAATTACAGCACGGGTTGGGTTTGCTGCCAAAGCAGGCACGGGTCGCTCTGTGCATCCCCCGGCTCCGGGCAGCCCTCGGTGGGCGCCGCAAGTTTAAAAGCATCCGAGGAATGCCTGAGTGGAGACAGCACTTCCTGCTCCATCCTGTCCTCACATCTCGGCTCCCCCAGCCCCGCGGCCCTGCCCGCACCTCACATTAATCCCTTCTTGCTTTAAAAACAAATCAAGGTGTGCGCGGAACGGCCCCACCGCGGCGTCCCGGGGCTCCTGCCCCGGCTACACTTCTCCCGTCCCACACACCGGCTGCACAGCCCCCGCAAACGACGGCGGGAGGCAGGGCCGGGGCTGTGCCTGCACGGGGAGCCCCTGCAGCGCTGAGGGGGCGGAGGCGCCGCCGCCGGGGCCGGAGCCCCTTCCCGCCGCTCACCTGAGGCCGCGGCCGCTCCCGCCGCCAGGCCGCGATCCGCCGCTCCGCCCCGCAGCCCTCCCGCATCCCAGCAGCCACCGCGGCGGAGCGCCCGCCTACCCCGCGCCACTCTATGGTGCACGCCCGGCCGGAGCCGGCAGCGAGAGGCGGCTCCGGGAGCCGCGAGGGGAGGGACAGAGCGGCCCCCGCCCGCCCCGCCGGGCGCGGCCATGGCAGCCCGCGGGCCGGGGCCGCCGCCGAGCCGTGTTCCGATGTGCCACATCTACACGGAATGGTTTGGTTTCTGTTTTCCACCCAAACATCGTTGAGTTTTGGGATTGCTCCATTTACAGCGGGTTTAGCGATACTCCTCAATGGTAAACATGGCTGGTGTGATAACCGGGGGAAATCGAGCTTAAACTTTGTGCTGTTTGACTGTAATGCAGTATGTAACACCAGCCTGGTTGGTTTGCAGGTGCTCATTCACACATGAAGCAAATTCCTATCCCGAACACTGTACAAAAAAATCCCAGTACTTGTTTTACTTACACTGTTCTCTCCTTCACGGCGTTCCCTGTGGTTCTGCGAGAGCCCCGGCCGCTGTCACCGCTGAAGGGCCCAGTGGGATCCTCGGAGTTCTCGGAGCTGTCAGGCAAACCCGGAGTGTAAATGACACCTACAGTTAGGTTACAGACACAGTTCTCATGGGGAAACAGTGTTACATAGCCCAAAGTCCAAATGCAACACTGTCAAAACTAAAACACGTATTAGTAGGAGTACCGGAAAGGCTTTTTCCAACCTTCCAGCTGCAAGAACTGTGTTCAGGAAAGTTCCTGGACATCTATCCATGCATTTTGAGAGGGCAGCTTGTGTGTGACCTAGCAGCAAATCTTTTGACTTAGAATTCTGAATACCAAGAAACACATTTCTGTTATGTCTGTATTCCCACCATTAAGCAAACAGGGCTGCAGCTCACAACAGGAGAATGTGGGAGTGAAACAAATGCTGCTGAAGGCAGATTGGCATTATCTGCAGTTCACATTGTGCTCCTATTATCAACTGAGCATTGATGGGATCTGAGTAAGAGCAAGATAAAAGCCAGTGAAAGCACAAGCAAGTTCAATTTCCTAGAACAAAATGTAATGTTATAACTGAAAGTTCTGATTCACACTTCCTTCCTGGAAGAGTTAGAAGATGGCATTTCAGTCTTCCTTAGAAATTAAGGTTTTATTTTAAATAATTCCATGGATTTCCATATAGATGTTTTGTACTATCACCACCAGAGGAACAACTGTGTCAGTTTTTCTTTCACTGAATTAGAACACTGTGGTGGACACAAGATTTTGCACACATGCACTGCTATCACAAACAACTGCTAAGCATTTGAAGAAATTATAAGAAATTGACACAGACAATGCCAAATTACTGACTGCCATCCACACAGGGACAGGTGGGAGTTAGTGCTCCCATGACTGTCACTCCTTTCCTTTGGCAGGATTTAGTGCAAGGGGTGAAAGAGTCTCCAGAAATTTCAAATCCTTTGCTATTGAGGCAAAAATTTTCCCAAGTCATGGCTGAATCAGATCACTGACCAATTGTCACACAAAACATTCAGGGAAGCCACAACCCTTCCAAAGAAGTCCCATTCAGCCAGAAAGGGATGTAAGGAAGGGCGCCTGGGGTAAGGGCAGAGGCCAGTCCTGGCAGTGCCCTGCCTCTGCAGTGCCCAGGAGCAGATGCTTAGGAAAAGATAACAGCAGCACTGTGCCTGTGCATCCTCCCAGATTCCTGCAATCTGCAGCTCAGCTGCTTCCTGAGCCAGAAGTTTTATCTTGATGGTTCTCTCTTCCATGAATTTTTCTTCTAGCTTTTTGAACCCATCTCAGCTTCTGGCATTAAAGAGCATCCTGTGACAATGAGTGTTACAGTGCATTAGTCACTTGAGGAAAATGTACTTTTGTTACCTTTGAAACCTGTTATGAGACTCATTATGAAAGTGCAGTTCCCAGGAATGCCAGGCAACAGAACTGGAATTGTTTGGGGTGTGTGACTGAGAAATGCTGCACTGCAGACCCTACAGCAAATGCAGCCCCCACAACACATGCTCCATGTTTTTAATTTCTCACACCAATATCAGCAGAGGTGCAAACAGAAGAATTGCTTGTACTGAGGAACAGTGGTTAAATAGTCTAGAAATGTTCATGCTGTGAACAGCACTCTGACTGTGAATCACTCATTCCCAGAATTATTATTTTTGAAAGAATTTTGTTTCATTTTTTCCTTGGAAGTTCCAATGCTTTTGCTTAAAGTTCCTGATACACCAGGATTTACATTATCAAAAGGACAAAAGTGCTTCCTTGAATTCAAATCTTAACTTTGTGTAGAGTCACATCTTAGTAAGTCAGAAATACTTCATACATTCAGCAAAAGACATTATGTGTCTTTTGTTCCTGTTCTTACCAGAGAAAATGGTGATACTGATTATAATAAAATAATATTTTATTAAATATTAAATAAATACAGCCATAAACTGAAACTTAAATTGAGTTTTAATAGATAAACCAATTCCACATTCCTTGGCATTACTTTCCTTAAGATATGCTGCATAAAACAGTTTTTATTTTTCGGTTGTGAGATCCATTTAAATATTGATCCAAAGTATTTGTGTATGCTTTGCCAAGTTACAGTACATGGCTCCAGATCCAAACCTTTTAGAAATAAATCCACTGCACACTGTGGGTGACATCCTATTTTAAAGAATTAGGAAAGAAAAAAAATACTTTGAATGTAGATAGTGGGAATGTCAGATGAAGTAATTTAGATATTCCCTGGGTTTATTTGTAAGATTTGGGTGTGCTGAAAGACAGAAATTTAAGGGTGAAGTTCCCATTGATTTGATCAAAATACTCTTTTGTGTAGGGCTTTATGTATGGAGCCACCAATGGGAAGAACCACTCCAACATCTCAAATTTCCTCATTTTTGCAGACATGCTGCATCAGGAATCAGAGATGTCAGGTCCATGGAAAGCTGGTGTCACTGATGGGCCCTTCTGAGACCCACAGCTCAGAGCTGGAGCCTGGGCAGGGTAGGAACAGGAAGCCACTATCTGTGCATGCACCAGGATTTACAGACACAAGCTGCTTTACAAGAAAATCTGCAACAGATAAGTATTTTCCCTTGCTGCAAAAACCACCCAAGCCTCATTTTCAGTGACATACTACAGGAAATGAAGATTATATTTGATTTATAGTAGTCTCAGAGGAACAGAAGTGTTTCTTTTGCATTTACCAGCATATACAAGCCCTCCATTTCAAGATACTACTTATGGCAATGAAGAAACAATAAGAAAAGCCTTCAAATATTCTCCAGTATAAGAGACATTTTGCATTTTTCTACCTATATCAGTCATCTTTTCCTCTTACTGGAACAAAGTTCCCTTTTAAGAAGGAAGTCAGGACTGTCCAAGCAGATGTGTGTTATTCCTGAAAGCAGAGCTTGGCTGAGATGTGCAGCAGCTGCACTGCCAAGGAGAGGTCCCAAACTTCCCACATCTCAGCACTGCACATTTCTTGAGACATGAGATAAGTGTAGTATATTTCCCATCACTAACCCTGAATAGTTTTCAGTAATTCATGGTCATGTGTTTACTAATTACTTTCAACATCTGCAATGTATATTTAAAACAATGGCATTTGTCCTGGCTGACGCTGCTCTTTACAAACTGACATCTCATCTGATTTCCCAAGAATTACATGGAAAAGAGACCTACCAGGATCCTGGTACACCACAATCTGGGGAAGGAGGCTGACTCTGGAAGAGGACAAAATTAAACTATAGCTGCCCTGAAGGAAACATGATGTAGAATGGGCCATTAGGCATGAAACAATGTGTATTTCCTATAGCTTCCCCCCATCCTGCCTATCCAAGCTTTAATATGTTCTCAAGATCTGTCCATACCATTAAAGAGAAGTATTTAAAGTGACATAGCCTAAGCACATATTCAGTGTGATCTTCTGATGAGTGGGATGATCAAACTCATCTACTGACATTCTAAACTTTGGGAAAGGGCCTTCATTGCTCATATTAACTGCTCTGGAGCACAATTAACACAGGGTTATGGCTGTCTAGTGACACCACAGTGCTCTCTGCAGAGCTAAATGCAGAAAACAAGGTGCTGAAGGGTTGGGTGCACAGCAGCTCACCAGTGCAGCCCAGCTGGTCCTGACTGTGGTGACTGGAAATGTTTTCTGCAGGGCATTTTTAACAGAGAGACATGAAGAGCAATTCCAACACTGGGGAGATTCAAATGCTGCTCCAGAAGTTTATGTGCAAAGAAATTCAAGAGGGGGATGTTGAATTTAGTTCTAATGATGGTTTACCACTATTGTTTTCCTCATTCAGTAAGGAAAGTACCTGTAACCCTGTCTCAGCATTCCCACCATGTGCAGTCCTGGCTGCACCCAGGCTGAGTGTGTGTGTAAAGAGTAGAGACTGACACAGGGCTAGGGCCACTGTGTCTGGAAAGGGATCTGCAGCAGCAAATATACGAAGGCTGGAAGCACATTTATAACTTCTTTCAGTGTTTTTCCAGCTACATATATCCATTTCCTTCCTTTCTTTTACCTGACTCTAGTCACATCACCACTGAGAGGGAACAGTCCATTTCTCAATCCTGAGGGGCAGCAGCAACACTTGAACTAAAAAAAGTGTTGGATTCTACATCATTAGCACCAGTTACTGAGAATACTACCTGTTCTTGCAAAATTCTGGTTTGGTTCTCTTTTTGCTCAAAAGAGAAGAAGTGAGAATTTTGTGTTAACCACTTCAGCTTGTTTTCAAAAGAAATTAAACAAATCCAGTGGTGAAATTGAGCTCCTTCATTTTGTAATAACTTGCTCATTTGACAAGAACTCATTTCCTATGTGCCAGTCTTCTGATGTGTCACACTGAAGACACATTGGCACTGCTGACACACAAGAACTTCCTGGAACCCTATCCTAGTATGGAATCTCTTCTGTTGGGAAAAGAATTGCATTTTAAAGGAAAATTCAGAAAGAAATAATCTTCTCTGAGAAACCTCAGGCTTTCTAAATAAAGAAC